AGTAAAATCTCTCTATTTGTTCTAAGCTTAATTCTCAACATATTAACATGAAACTTGTTACAAACTACTCTAATACATTTATATTTAATTTAGGAATACAATTTGAGGTTGAAAAAATGTTAGTGAGTGTGGGGGAGGATAGAGTAAAATAGTCAGTTTTACACATTTTAACCTCCTCTTAGTAAAGTAGAATAAGCAATCTATTCATGGAAAATTAAGTATGTAAATTAATTATTAATGTATACAACTAGAATAGACAGTTTTCCAAGCTTATATGTCTAGTTTTGGTCTAGAGAAAAAATAAAAATGAATGTTATATAGAAAATCATCATTTTGTACTGTATCTCAGTCAATTTTTGCTCAATTTTCTTTATTTTTGTTGGAATATGAAAGATATTTAAGATTAATGAATTTAGCAACTTAAATCACACAGAATGGTTGTGTATTGATTGAGTTACAGTAAATTTTGTATTCTGACATGTTTAGTGTGACAAAACATCACAAAACACATCAGTGCCAGGTATTTTGAAAACAGCTGTAACACTCAAAAGCAAGTTTTAGTTTCTTATCAGAGCTGTAACACGTTCTAGTGATCAATACCTTGTTGAACTTTGTGACACGCTTGAACAACAGTGTAGGATAAGAGTCTCTGAAACAACAATATGGAGAACTCTACAATGTGTTGGTTTTTGAATGAAGGAGGTAGAATATGAGTAATCATTATTAAATCAATACTGATAAGTTTTATTTACTAGTGTATAGATTACCAAACAAGCACTTGAATACAATGAAGCTAATCGAGCCGAGTATTGTCTTTGCATTGGTGCAAATTATACTCCTAAACAGTTAGTTTTTGTTGATGAGAGTGCATGTGACTAGAGAACATACTTGCAAAACCGAGCATAGGCTTTAGAAGGTCTTTGTACATGTTGCAAGCAAGTCTTTGCTAGAGGGAAACAGTAGAGTGTTTTATTTATATGGAATAAACTAAAGCTTACTTTCATTAGATATTCTATCCTTCCAGCAATTTCACTAAAGGGCATCCTTGAATGTATGATTATTGAAGGCTTATTCAACATAGAGCTATTTCTCGAGTTTATTAATGATCTACTTGCCAAAATGCAACCTTTCCCAGCTCCAAGGTCAGTCATTGTAATGGACAATTGTACTATTCACAAAGCACCTGAAATTCAAGAACTCATTAAAGTAAGGTATGTAAGAAATGTTCAGCTTTTAATAATTGAATACTAACCATGAAATAGAGGGATGAAACTTGAGTTCCTTCCAGCTTATTCTCCTGACTTCAACCCAATTGAGCTTGCCTTTTTGTTACTCAAACATATGTTACATTACAATCCACCACTGTCTAGAACAGATAAATCTTCAGTTTACAAACACTTATATCTCCAGGTTTTCACTATTAGTATAGACAACTGTTGTGCATTTTATCATCACTCTGGGTATCTCTAAATTTAATAAGACCTATAAGATTGAAGTAGATAGACACAGTTGAATGCTATCAAATCAATATACAAACTTTAAAGAAAGACTGTTGAAGCCTATATAATCTATCTGAAAACTCTGTACTACTGTTAGATTGAATGCTTTGTTAGGTTCCTAATGTATACAATGTCTTCAATTGTATATGTATGTACACAATTCATGAGCCCTATTGTAGTAACAATACCTTGCCCCTTAGCCAACATCTTTATTATCTTAGGAGGCATTCTTGAAATGTTATCAATTCTTGTACAGCCATTCTGCTTAAAGACAGGTAAGAGAACTGTGTAGTTGTGTTTATTACAACCATGTTCAAGATTGTCTTCACACATTCTTAGCCAGATCGAAATTGCAGGATAGTTGAAGGATGTTTTGTACACATGTATGACAGGTTCCTGTACAGTCTCTGTTTCTAGTCCAGGTGTGACTAGACAAATCTTACCTACTGTGACAGGAAGGCTTGATTGAACAAACTTCCTAGCTTCCTTGCCTGGTTGCTTGTAATCAAGAAGCTTTGCTGACATTAAAGCTGGAACCTTCAATACAGTAACATTTGGCTCTCCTTGAATCTAAGCAACAATGATTAGAGTAATTCAAACAGGGGGGAGAGCTGGGTGGAAGGCAGTGTAAGGCTCACTAGTTTCCTTACATGTTCCAGAACATAATCATGTATATAAACACTACAGGTCCTATCATACTTCTTGTAGCAGAGGCAGTTATACTGTTTGTAAAACATACTATCCTGAATACACTGTGTTGCTTCAACCATCTTGTGGTTCACAGAATTCCTTGTAGCAAATGTTGGGTTCTCCTGCTTTGATGATTTGCCTTTAGATACATTGCCTGAACAACCTGTTGCCCTTCCTTGACCCTGTAGTATGTACTTAGTAACCACAAACTAATGATTTACAATTTTGTGCTTACTATAGTATTATCCAACATGTTGGAGAAGGTAATGTTACAGATGACATCTCCAGCACAACTACACTTCTTGGACTGCTGATTCTTGACATACCTATAGTATGTAACTCAGAATTCATCAAGTTCATCAGCATTCAAAAGGTATGTAAGACTTTTCTTTGATCCAATCTTTACACTCTATACTGCTTCATATCCAATTTCTACAAGGTGGTTGGGATGCTTTATTACATTTGCTGTCTTTTCCAGGATATTATGATGAGTATTCAAAGGTGTGATAGTTATTGTGTACAGTCCAATTCCATCATAAACACTAACCTTGACTTCTTCACCCTTACTTTCACTAGACCTTTTCTGTGGTTTAAAACAACAAGTATACAGTGTTAATGTAACTGGCAGTAAAATATCATCTAAATCTTTTATCAGCAAGGGGTAATGACAGGTACATTATAAAATGTACCTTTGTTCCCTTCATCCTCTTTGTATTCTGAATCAGACAAGAGGATTGTACTGTTGGCCAAGCTGTCAGTTAGGGTGCATACAAACATGTCTTCTGTTGGTTCATTTGGAAAAAGCCCATTATTGTCAACTGGGTCAGTAGAAGCAGTACCTTGCCCAGCAAAGGGAATCAAGTCCAAGTCCTTAGAAAAGGTGCAAATGAGTAATGGAAGGTGACATACATATTAGTTAGTTATACCTGCAATGCTGCATTCACATCTGCCTAGTCTTTCTGAGGGCAACCACACTTTGGATGCTCTGGTTTGTCTTCAGGCTCAACATCACCAGTACTTCCTTCACCCTCCAGTGGACACTCCTCTTCCAAAAGTATTGGGGCCTTCTTCTCAGAGGGGTGAGTGGCAGCCTTAGTAAAATGCCATTCATTTTCAATACACTTAACAAATGGGAACAATACTTACCTTTTCCCTGCCTGTTCTACCACTTTCGCTTGGTTCAACAACCCTGAGCCTTCCTTCCTGGTTGTAAGAAGAATGAGGTGGTTGACTGCAACCATGACCAGTACCAAGTCTTGTCTGTGGATGTCTCCTTCTGTGAGGTGCCTCAGAAGCTTTGGTGCTTTGAGCCTTCTCTGTAGGCTTGGAGAGACGTTTGCCTGCCACAGTGTTTGTGGCATGTCTCGGTCAAGGTTTAGGTGGAATCACACAATGAAGTAGTGGGGAAGCAGTAAACGGGTAAGTCACAATTCAAATATGTGCGTTGTCGGCTATTGAACCAATGACACGTGCATGCTGTTACGATAATCCTTGACATTGCCGAACAATACGACCCGTTTAGCGGTATGCATACATTATTGAGTGCCACTGGGACGTTGTGGAACGTGGCCAGCCACCTAATTCGGACGTGGTCCGATAGTGGCGATATCTCCGATCTTATAAAGCGCGTTGACATCAACAACAGCGTGGGTCTCCCCAACAGTCCCTTACCACAGTCGCGTCGTTTCCGCATCCGAACCCTGAGTCCCACGACTCTTTTTGGGACGACCCTGAATTATATAATAATAAGCGTAGTTATATAATTATAATTGTAGTTATATAATAAATTTATCTATTATATAATGATTTGCATGATTTACCTTACTGAAATAGTGAAGGTAGATCAGCACACAATATAACTCGTTATAAAAACAGAATAACTTACTATTACATGTTATAATTACTCATTTTTCGATGATTTTTGTAATCTGAGAGGTCTGTATTGAAAAATAGTACAAAATAATACAAGGTATCGTATATAAATCTAAGAAAAATGGCGGAAGAAAGAATAACGGCGCGTCTACTATGTCTCCAACTCCTTCTGAATGTTGTAGTCTGACTGCGTTGATTTTGTATCGCCGTGAGACGCTTGTTGCGTGCGGATAGTATTGGTATACGTCTGTTGTGGAGTACCCAACGAAAGAGTATTGTGGTGCCCCGGCGGATTTGGTACGCTGTTGTAATCGAAGTTCGTAGGATTTGGAAGACACGTTAACGAGGGTTGTGCAACGGTATCATACATCCGTTGTGAAGTACTCAACGAAGCTGGATTGTGATGAGCGGATGGATCGGATATGTCCTTGCAAGCAAAGCTTGTAGGATTTGGAGGGAGCATGGACAGAGCTTGCGCTTGCATCTGTGCTAGTGGTTGGTATGTGTTCATTCCGCGAACTTGTTGATGATAAGGCATGATATACGAGCCACCTCTGCGCACAGACTCGTTCGGTTGGCCTGGAGTGAAGGACTCGGCGAAGGAGTTGACAAACTGTTGGCGAGGTTGGATTGTAGGATCAACTCGCAATTCTTCTTGGCTGCAGGCCGAGCCTTGTGGAGGCATGTAAACAAACTAGACCAGACTAGTTAGCAGTTGAATAAAGTACTGTTAATCTGAAGGCGTACCTGAGTGGTCTGTTGTTGCTGAGGAGTGGGATACGCAGCCAAGGAAGGGTACATGGACTGTGCCTGTCTGCTCGCGATCTCGCCACTAGGAACCGAAGGTTGTGGCTTGCGTTTTTTTGCGTCTGGTTGAGCCTTCGTTCCACTTTGAGTGCCACCGTTGTATGGGTCTTCATTTCTACGTTTTGGTCGTGTTTTTGTAGGAGGTAATCGTGTTCCAAATGTCTCGCGAAACTCTGTGCGGGTCGTCTTGTTGGGTGGCAGTTTGACTGGCGGAGGTAGTTCGGTAGCTCCAGTCTCTTCAAGCAAGTTCTTAATGAGGTTCTCAACCTCAAGTAGTTTCTCGACGTCGATTGAGCGGTTAGAAGCAAGCAAGCTGGCTCGGAGAGAAGTAGTGCCGTGATTGATACGAGAAAGAATGCGAGAAGAAGCCGCACGGCAAACAGTATCGACTTTCCTATCAGGAAGCGCATTTTCTTTGATTTCCACATCCAAGGATGGAAGAGAGAGATCTGGGAAAGTCTGTTCCTCAGGGAAGAGGCGTTGCACAGCGCAAATGTGCTTGCAATAGCAAATAATCGGAAAATCGGCACAAGTACAAGAGAAGGCATCAAGATCGACTTCGTAACATATCTCAGGCTTGGATAAAGACTGTACTGAGAATGTTTGAGCTTCAATAACCTGTTATTGTAAGTATATACTTAGAAAACGATGTAATAATAGAATAATTACCTTTATATGCTTCTCCTCAATCATTAGAGAGCGTTTAGTGATATCTTGACGCTTTTTCTCTTCTAAATCGTCCCCTTCGAGTCCAAGCTCACGGCGAGTATGCTTAGACTTGTAGTATGGGATCGTAATTTCGTTCAGGGTGTATATCAGAGAATCCAATCTCCGGTTTCGCTTTCCTTCAAGGTGATTCGATTTTAATACATGATGATACCTGGAAATCTATAAGAAGGCATTCAATATAATGGAATGATATACTAGTACTTACGCTTCAAGCAGCATATTTGTATCTGACAACTTGGCTATACTCCTTTCCTGTCGATAAACTGCAGACCAAAGCTTAGTATCATTCATCCAATACTTCTGTAGATATTCAATGACAGAAGGAGGTGATATCCTTTGGATATCCTGCCAGATAGACATAAAGTCAGTCTCATTACGCACTCTCAGCCACACCTTTAGCGTCTCCCAAAGTTTTGTATACTCTTTAATATTAAAATGCTGTTGCCATGCATGTAAGACATGCCACCAGCAGAGTAAAAACTCTGTTTCCGGCGCTGGAAACAGAGCTCTAATAGCATTCATTTGTGCCAAATCCTTGTCAGACATGAAAAATGCTGGAACTACCTTAGGATTAGCCTCCCTGAACTTAGATAAAAAGAAGCGATGTATAAACTCAGTGCCTTCCGATGCTAGGCACCAAGCGACAGGTATACCTATGTAGATACGCGTCTATTGATTAGCACCCGAAGTCAAGAAAGAGGGTAATATATTAAACTTACCATGACCCCACCTGTCACGTACAAGTATCGTATATAATATTAGGTTCGCATATTGTGTAATGTTATGTGTACCATCAATGAAAAGCATGGAATCACCATACAAACTGGCGATTGTATTTTGCCAGGGAGTATGTATTATCAAACAGAAGGTATCTTTTGAAAGACACGAGTCTAGCGGCGGAGGATCAGCCACAGACTTAAATGCGAGCACAGAGTTCTGTTCCCTGAGCTGAGAAACCTAAAAGTCCAACGAGATTCCATCATTTGGGTGAAGATGAATAGAAACTGCATCAAGCTCCTTTTTAATGCGTAAAATATCCCTCATACTGACTAAATGATCTCTTTTAACCGAATCGAAATTGATTTCAGCTGAGGGACCATCGAAAACACCATCCTGCAGCTGGCGCAACTAGAAGTCAGGTACTGATGAGTTCTTGAATTAAGAATGCACATTGGAAGAGACTTACTATTTCTTGTGGGTGAACTTTGAGCTGCAGAAGCTCAAATATATGAGCTCTAGTGATTCCGGACAGCCTGGTGTATTTCAGGTTGTCTCTTCCGATCGGATGCGAGTGTTCCGGATCATAAGTCCCAAGGACGACTGGGGAATCAAAATACAATTTGATAACAACTCTGCACTGACAACCAATCCTCTTAGATTCAATCGTCCTTCCATCCTGAATCCCCTTCTTTGTGTAAGATTTCTGCCCTCCAGTGCCATTCCTACTACACACAAATGTGGTACGCTCCCTAAACCTTGCATCTCCAGCAACAGAACGCGCTCTTTTAGCAACTCTTAACTCAATACACTTACTGAACTCCTCATCCCTCAACCAAGCATCGAATTCCTCCTTAGTTTCCCATCTAATATTGTAGTCCATATGCTCTAAATCCCATGCGAACGTTCCGCGCAGAGGAGTAGTAGAATGCGGTTCCGGTGTGGATGAAACAGAAAAACAATCCATGAAAGCACTATAGGACACTGTCCCCAAGTCCTGAGTGCTTGTAAGAGGCATTTTCACTATGCCAGAGTCGTCTGAGGAGTTCATGATGCTGTTGCGCGGTCTTGAGGCACGAAAGACACACAAATCATCTTTTTTTTTGTTTATTCTGGCCACCAGAGTAGGGATCCGAATCGTACCGTACAGTACGGTTACGACCCGTTTCGGTCACGGTACGATCTGTACTCGTACCGGACTTTGAGACACCAAATACGGCTCGTATAAAACGGGCCGTATCCCGTATCTTATTAGGCCAAATACGGCCGTATACGGCCGTATACAGAGTACGGACATCCAAAGAAGATATTCAGTATTAATAACATGTGTAGCACAATTTATAACTATTTCTTCTCTTTGTATACCTTATAATATACCTTTTATACATAAAAACACCAAATTTAGCTAATCTTGGGGTCAATGTATTAATATTATATTATTTATCTTCTCAAAATAGTTAGTCATGTGACTATCTTTTATTACTTCATACAAATTATATTTCAGATTTACTGAATATATTGATGAAAATGGGCATAACAAGTGCTAAATTTGATAGGGACATGCATATAAAGTAATAATAGGCCTTTTTAACAATTTAAAAGTATATTAATTATTTCTTTCTATTAATATAATATTAAATTTGTATTTACAAGCGTATTACCGTATACGGCTGTATACGGTACACACCGTACCCGTACTTGTGTCCTAGAACTCAAAAAACGGTCGTATTTTTACGACCGTACCCCGTACAGACCCGTACAGAGTACGGTCGTACCCGTATACGGTACGCTCGGATCCCTACACCAGAGTATGTATGCGGCCCACACAAAGGTTAAGTTACATTTTTGGCAGGTAAGATCGTCAATCATTCTTCTATCTATTACATGATATCTTCTATTATTACATGATATCTTCTAATATTACATAACTCAGGGACGACCCAAAAAGAGTCGTGGGACTCAGGGTTCGGATGCGGAAAGTCAAGGCTGCTCTTTCGACCGTTTCCGCCATCTATATCCACCATAATGCAGCTCGCTTCACCTACACCGCGCTTGGGCTCTTTGCTCAGGCCCATGGCTTCGTCAGCAACGACCACTACCAGTGTCCCGACGAGTAGTTTGGGGGGTTCAGGGGGTGATCTAGGTACGCGTTATGCTTCTCGTTGAACGAAATGAATCCACATTGACGTTGCTTAGCTCGCCCGGCTCGCTATGTGCACTTTATCGCAAGATCGCCGGGTCGTACGTCCTTTTATCGCTATTTTTAGTGTATATACTGACGTCGATTGAACAGAGCCGGCGACGACGTTGGACGATCTTGAACAGCTCCATGACAAGTTGGCGAGTCGCATGTCCGAAGGCAAGCTCAAGTCAGACGATAAAATGGTCATGGATGGCTTAACCATCATGTGCGATAATTTGAAATTGATTCGAGACTCGCTGAAGACGAGGAACAACAAGGTCGATGCGAATCTATCAGAACACGACAAGAAGTTGCATGAGACGGAACAGGCCCTGGAAGCAATCAAATATCGTTTGGATGACCAGGAGGGTGCTCTCATCGAAGTAACGGAGACCCAGAGACTTTTGATCGGTCTCGCCCGCAAGGTGAGTACATCTCATTAAATTACCTTTACGCGAAACTAAATTCGTTCTGTAATGCGCAGTATCGTTCCTTCGCGGACGCGACGCTCTTACGTAGCCTGCTCGACGAAAGTCGGTTTCATGTCGCAATGACATTTGTGAATGTCATCCCAAACGAGTTCATTACGGATGTCATCATGAATAAGTACGACCAGTCCAGGACATCCGTCCTCTGGTTTCGTTTCAAGGAGGTGCTCGATGCCGTGTACATGAAGTTCCATGAATCCGATGGCGAGTATCTCTATCAGACCAAGCCGCTGCTCGAGTCCGATCTTCCTTTTACGGAAATATACGTCGGCCAGGTCAGCAGAACGGCGAGTTACGATAGTAACGTCGGTGTGGTGCTGGAGGGCGAAAACGACGATCTCGCGTTGGTCCGCAAGCTTGGATTTTTCGTCCCGATGATAATCCTATACTATACAAAGCAGAAGCGCGACATTGAACTCGTGGAAAGGAAGCGCCATAAGCAGCTCGTAAAGAGCGCTAGACTGGAACGTCTAGCCGCGACGCTGGAAGGTCAGCAGAATACCGCGAAACCCAGTGCCCCGGTGGACCCGCGGGATCCTCACCGGTTCGACTTAGGAGTGGCAGGCAGCATTAGATCGAGGGAGCTCTGGATTGAATTTCAAGCCGCAAGAGAGGAGGCGAAGAGGCAGGAGAGAGAGGCGAGAGAGGCGAGAGAGGCAGCCAAGACGGGCAGGAAGCGCAAAGGTCCGGACGACCCAGACTCTGGTGAGGAACGTAAACCGGACAAGGGCAAACATGGATCGCGTTCTCGCCAAGGAGGAACCGAGTCTGGAGGATCAGGATCGCATGATATTATCGCCAGCCCTCGTGTGGAACCGAGTGACCATTCCTCTACGCTTACCGACCTGCCAGAAGACGCGGAAATGGACGACGCTGAGGACAAACCGCTGGATTCAGACGCGGAAGCGCGTGCAGAAGGTGCCGCACGTATCCGGAAGGATTCCGTTGCATGTCAAGAGCTCGTGAGGCTCCTCACCTTGGAGTACGACGCAAAGATGCGTGATTACCAGACCGTTCGCAAAGGTCTTCAGGTTGTTCTTGATGATTCGCTGCGCATTCTTGCTGTTCTTCAGGAATCACTGGTGAGAATTGCGACGAATCAGTTCACTCACTATCGTCCCGAGCATCTCGATGACTACTTCAATGCGGCGAAACGCGTTGAAGATATTGTCATTTCAACCGGCATTGAGCTCACCGGTCGTCCGTCAGATCTCAAGGGTGAAACGCAGAAGTTGACGAAGATTCTGTACAAACTGGAGGATTACTATGATAAAAAACTCACGGATATCGAGGAGCAGATCGATAAATACCTTGAAACGAACTTTGCTGGAGGCGAAGCGGAGCACAACATTGCTGGCGTTAATTACGATGTTATCAACCTCGTACTCAAATTGGAACAGTTGCAGCGGAACAGGGCAACGAGCAAAGAATAGTAGGGTGCGACCTCAGACATTTCGTCATCGTCACCAGGCAGGTTTCTATGTATGTACTGCTTTCGCGTAAGGCTTTTTCCTTCTCTAACCAAATGTATGCACGGCCCACTCTTTTTCACTTTGTTATGAATGTTTACGGGCCTTTCCTTCTCTGTGTTTATGTATGCTTTACTCGTAGTAGTAGTTGGTGTGAAGCTGATCGGATGTAGTACTTTAGGATTGTCAATATATGCTTATGTTTGTGCTGAATTGATAGAACAATGTCTCTAAGCTTTTATTATAGATTTAGTGAATGGCCAAGTGTTCCAGTAAGTACACTATCCTAGAAGCCAGTCAGACTAGAAAATTGAGATAAAAGTGATACTTTAGATAGTTCTGAGTACTAATCAAGCACATATATTTTCAATTACTGTATTCTATAGGACTCAAGCTGCTACAAAACTTAGCACATAAAGTACTATAGTACTAGACCTTTATTTAGAACTTTAAAACAGATTTTTTGGTGCATTTCTTGGAGTGCTAGAATTTTAGCAAAATATGAAGATTTTGTCTGAGTATGGTTCTTTTTTTTCTAAACAAATACACAGTACATTTTTTCAAATTTTTTTTGCAAATTCATATACAGATTACTTTAAATACATTGTTTAAAGAGAAAATATAGAGCAATATTGACAGAGAAAATGGAGGTTTTGTCAATTTTTCTCTTATTTTGTCTGTGATGTGACAAAAAAACACACAAGATCAGTGAGTGCCAGGTATTTTGAAAACAGCAGTAATTTGCCCTCACTGTACAATTAATACAAGTGTGAACAGTATTATAATACTATGAAATACATCAGATAGATACTAAAAGGTATATCTATACAATGATTCAAATAAAATAAACAAAACCAATATATAAAACATTAAAACTGATATATAAAACAAACTAATATATAAAATGTTTTACCTAGCAAACCAATTAACAAATAAAATGTTGAACAAATACTACAATTGTGCACAGCAATAGATTAACTAAAGTATGCTAGGAGACAATTATAGTAAACATAATCTGATATATTACTTATATGCAGATTGTGTTACAATACATTATTCTTTGCAAAAAGAAAAAGTAAAGAACAATAGCTATAACATTCACATATATATACACAATACTACAATTGCAACAATTCACAATAACATTATAATAAATAATACAAACACATGTTAGTAACAATTTACAACAGATAATTATGTTGGCTATTGAAGAAATAATGCAACAGATCACATAGTTACTTAGGATGCATCAGAAACAATTCATTACAGAACACAATATTAATAAATTAATATATAAATATAAACAATAGTACAAAGCACTACAAACAGACAATACATTCATGATATAATACATATATAATGCACCTAGACACATAGTAAGCTGCCTGCAGCCAGATATAGTATTTATACAACAAATATATATTAGTATAAAACCTTATTAATCTCAGAATGAAGCAATCTGGCAAAAACAAATATTATTATTAATATTACAATATATGATTGATACAAAGCTTTAATCTAAAGACACAAATCAGCTATTGCTGAATACTTAACACATATACAAACATAGACAAACACAGACAGTAATAATTAAAGAAGGATATTATTACAACACTGAATATACATTTTACTAGTATGATTCATTAGTTTCACAGTAAAGTAAAAGGAAATTACTAGTAATACTTAAACAAACTTAATGACAAACAATACAATTGAATAACAAACAATAAAATGAAACAAGCAATTGTATTTATGATTCAAATATGTGTATATACATACTCACACATACTGATAAGATTCTACAGGTCTCTAAAGCATTTACAAATTATTTAATAACATTTACAAACAATCTATTATAATAACAATACTGTTATTGAACAGTATACTATGAATGAACAAACTAATTGAATATATTTAATTTGTTAGTTATACTCACTTTACTAGTCTTGATTCACAAGAATAGTAAGAGAATAGAGTATAGAGGGTAAGACTTGTAGACTTGTAGAGTAAGAGGGTAGAGGAGTCCTGCTTTAGTCAAGCTGCAAGTGTAGCCTAGTAGTTTGGTAGTAGAGTACTTCTAAGTACTAAGTAACTTAAGTTGATAAAACTACTTTTGAGAGCCAAACTGGCCTCCTTATATACTTTTTGCTAGAGTAATGTTACTCTAGTAACTTTAGTAACTCCCTTCACTGTTGTTCCCATGAAGTAGAGCTAGCTAATCTTTTAAACATTATACACTTCCTAAATTAATCTTCTAACACTAGTTTGTGTCTTTTTGTATCTTAGATTAATCTTCTAATAACTCCTTTACTATATTGTTATGTCTTCTATACTTTCTATCAAGCTTCTAATGACTCCTTATGAGTTCTCCTAACTAGTTATGCTTCCTAAGCTTTCTCATAGTGTAGAGCTTTCTATTGTTCTATAGTCTTCTTATAACTTGCTCTGACTCAACCTGTGCTTCTTGTACACTAGTTTGTACTATACTTTCTTATAAGGTAGAG